TGATATACACTGAACAAAATTATAAACGCAACACTTTTGTTTTTGCCCCCATTTTTCATGAGCTGAACTCAAAGAATTGTCTTTAGGTCACGTCCCAAAACCATTCAAGTTGGTGGTTATTAAGCCTCTTACTAAGAAACAACAACTAGATCCTAGTGAACTGGCAAATTACTGACCCATTTCAAATCTTCTGTTTATGTCTAACATTTTAGAAAAAGTTGTGTAGCGCTATACAAATAAACTTGAATTGAATTGAATTGAATTTTACATAGGCAAACACTACTTTGATAATTTAACTGTCTGATTTTTACTTTCTGATTATATTTTATTTACTTTTTTACATACTGATTTCAGTCCACCAGAAATAGTTAAACTATTAAAGCATTTGTAATAGTGTATAATAATTTTAATAATGTATGAATTATTTTAATGACGAATGCATGAAATATGCATTATTATTTTCAATTTTAAATGCATGTTTTATGCGTTATTCTTTTAATATTGTATGCATGCAATATACATTATTTCAATAATGTGTGCATGCAATATTTAATATATTTAATATGCGTTATTTTACTGTATGTATGCAATATGCATGATTGTTTTGATATTGCATGCAATATGCATTATTTTAATGGTGTATCTATGCAATATGTGTTATTATTTTAATGATGTATGCAAGCAATATGCATTATTATTTAGTTGATGTTTTCATGCAATATGCATTATCATTTGGATGTTGTATGCATGCAATATCAATATGCATTATTATTTGAATGTTGTATGCATGCAATATGCATTATTATTTTAATGATGTATGCATGCAATATGCATTATTATTTTAATGATGTTTGCATGCAATATGCATTATTATTTTGATATTATATGAATGCAATGCGTTATTATTTTGATGATATATGTATTCAATATGCATTATTATTTGAATGTTGTATGCATGCAATATGCATTATTATTTGAATGTTTGCATGCAATGTGCATTGTTATTTCGATATATGCATGCAATATGTGTTATTGTTTTAATGATATATGCATGCAGTGTGCATTATTATTTGAATGTTGTATGCATGCAATATGCATTATTATTTTAATGTTTGCATGCAATGTGCATTGTTATTTCGATATATGCATGCAATATGTGTTATTGTTTTAATGATATATGCATGCAGTATGCATTATTATTTGAATGTTGTATGCACGCAATATGCATACACAAACAGCTAACATTATGTATGCTTTTCTCTCTCAGATGATATTATTTTCCTCCTGCTGCATTTGTGGGTTAATCGGTGGAATCCTGAACTTCCAGTTTGTCCGTGCACTGGTCAAGCGTCCAGATGCCATGCGCTCTCTTCATTTGGCCATCATGTCTCTAGCATGTCTGGGCATCAGCAGCTGCACGCTGTCCACATGGCTGACCTGCAGACTGGCCAGCAGCGAACAGCAGCGCATGTTTCTGGAGAGAGAACATTCACTGCATCACTCGCAAGAAATGGCAGAGAAGGTACGCCAGGAGTTGGTATGTTTGTGCGGTCTGTGTGTGCCAGTGTATCTCATACACTTACAGTCAACGTTACATTAAAGCTGACTCAGTTTTCATACTTAATACAGAAATTTCCAGAACAGAAATATGAACATTGAATAAAGCCAGATTCAAGCTTCTTGCTTCGTTTTGTTGATATATTAGAGTTGAAGGTTAATGTAGATGAGTCTGTTTCTTCATCAGATTTGGAGAAATGTAGCACTGCATCACTTGCTCAGCAATGGATGCTCTGCAGTGAATGGGTGCCGTCAGAATGAGAGTCCAAACAGCTGATAAAAACATCACAATAATCCACAAGTAATCCACACCACTCCAGTCCATCAGTTAACATCTTGTGAAGCCAAAGCTGCGTGTTTGTAAGAAACAAATCTATCATTAAGACATTTTTAACATCAAACCTGGCCAAAATACGATTCCATAATCCATAATAATGTGTGAAAAAGGTCCATCTCCTGTTGTCTCTCACATCAAAATCCACCCACGTATTTGTTTAGAGATGTTTTGGACTGTTTTTGCTTGTAAACGGTGTTTGAGCTGTGTAGTTTTCTCTACTGATTCAGACAAGACAACTTTTTCACTGGAGGAAGTGTTATTATGGATTATGGACTCGTATTTTAGCAGGAAGCAATGGTTTGAAGTTAAAAATGTCTTCATGATGATTTTGTTTCTTACAAACATGCAGCTTTTGGCTTCACAAGACATTAAGTGATGGACTGGAATGGTGTGGATTGCTTGTGGATTATTGTGATGTGTTTATCAGCTGTTTGGACTCTCATTCTGACGGCACCCATTCACTGCAGAGCATCCATTGCTGAGCAAGTGATGCAATGCAACATTTCTCCAAATCTGATGCAGAAACAAGCTCATCTCACTCATACAGTAGCTAAATGGATGTTTTCTCTCTCCTGTCTGTTTGAATGTGTATCTCGTAGCGAAACCTCCTCACAAACTCGGCCGTGTGTTTGTCTGTTTGCAGGAGGTTTTGGATACCACCAGCAATGGCATCTCTCAAATCTCCTTCAACGGACGGAGCGCTTCGCCATGACAGCTCGCTGCCCACTCGCTCTTAACAGCACAGTTCTTCCCCCTGATTGGCTGAGTCAGGCTGACAGTTCTTCACTCTGATTGGTTGAGACGAGCTGACAGTAGAAGCACAGACGGCGTTCACAGGACATCCTGTAGACAGAGCGTCAGATAACAGTATTGAGCAGACAGACAGCCAATCAGTGTCCAGTTACCTGATGACCTCAGGAGAGGTCAGAGCTGATGACCTTGACGAACCAGCGTACAGAAAACAGATATTTGAGTACAAAAAAGCATGCAAACGATCTTCTCTCTCTTTCTGTATCTCTTTCTCTCTCCCTGTATCTAAATGAAGGGAATGTTGAATCTGAAATTGTAATCCTGATACTGTATGTTATACTGAATGCTTTTATCCTGATCGTATAAATGCACACTGTAAAATGCCTGTAAAGATATTTATTAATTTACAGTATTTTTATATAGAGGCTTTGTATGAAAATGAAATAAAGATGTCAAATGTAATTTGTGGCATTATGACTGATGATTATTGATCAGCAGAGTCGGAGCGGAACTCATGTCTGACAACATCTCCAAGACGCTACGCACCATATGACTAGTAAGTTAAATCTCAAATAACTGCCCTGATGACTTGTGTTCTACCCGCTTAAATGATAGAAGTACTTGTG